TTTGTAGATAGTCTATGGTTATGTAGAATACATTGCGTTAAAAAATGCTATATTTTTCGTTCATTTAAATGCAGAATGGGCGTTTATGAAATGGGATAGGCAATAAAAATAAATATATAGGTATATATGATAGTATTCTTGACATTCTTTTTAATTAAAATGATCTCAGTACAGAGTAGGTACTACTAAAAAAACCGACCTCAAAAGGTCGTGGATTTACATCTATTTGCCAAGTTTTATTGAAATCGATTACCTGAAAGTGCGCGAAATTGGATTCATTCCTTAGTTTGCAACTCTTAGAGGTGGAATATTTTATTCAAAATTTAAATTTAATGGGGCCACTACTGAGGTAACCTCTATCCAATAAAAAAAGAATCATCAAAATCGGTTCACAAATACCGGAGTTACATACATACAAAAAAAAAATACAGACGAATTCAGAACCTTCTCCTTTTTTTGAAATCGGTTAAATAAAGGGATAAGTTTTTACAAATGATATGTTTACATCAACATAACTTACCTTTATAACATTTTATTTACTTACCTAAATAAAATGTTATAAAGTACTTGTTATTACTAGTTTTGTACCAAAAACGTAACTTCAAGTCTTGGATATAATTCCAAAACACTTCAACTAAAAATTATTACAAAAGCAATAAACTTTTCAAAGGAAAACAAAATCTTCTACATGAAAACATTAAAAAAAAATCTTCGAAAAATGGGAAAGGACGAAGTCTTCGTACGCCAAATTATTAAGACAATCTTCAGTGTCGGCGTCACTAAGTCCTACGATTATAAAAAAATATATACATTATTTAAGTTTGTAATTTGTATAGTTTGCTGTAATTAAACTATGTTTAAAATATCGAGTTCTTTTAGGTTTTCGCGATTGTTACAGATAGGAAATGAAACTATTTTTCCGGGTTTGTTTGAAAAATATACGCGATTTAAATCCGGAAAAATAGTTTCATTTCCTATATGTTTAAAATGTTTAATTAAAGTAGATCAATATTCATTGTCATATGGGAATATCCGGGATGATAGATATATGAGATTTTGAATTTATTATTTTGCATTTATAAATGCTAACGAATATTACGACGACATATTACGAAAAATAATACAAATCGGGAAATCTCTATGCATTTCCAATCTCAAGACTGATATTATATTTTGTTTAAAAGTTTTCCAAATAGTTTAAGCTGTTTTGTATTTATGTATTGGTATAGAATTAATATCAGTGATTTTGATTTAGGTGAATCTAACACCTCCATTTAATATTTGAAATAAATAAAATTACTTATATAATTGTAATAACATGATATAATCATAAAATCAGATATAATATTAATAATAGGTAAGTTTATTTGCCTAAAACATGGTATAACAGAAGATGTAGCAAGCGACAGTGTCAGTACAAACATATTATATTACGTAACCATATATTAAACTACCACAACAATAAAAATGTCACAACAAATGGTCACAAGTTACAAATTAAATTTGCCCAGAATTATTAAAATCAAGATTAAAGTTTACATCTTATTTCCTGTCATTAAAAATATTATATATATAATTTAAGATACGATTGAATGTGACGATGTTTAACCACCATGATATTCAATTATTTTTGTGAAATTACTCCACTACTTAAAGATCGAACAGTTACAAAAAATTGCTACGATCCGGCTGGATTCGAACCAACGTCTTTCAGTCAGCCGTGACAGACACTATGCCAACTAAGCCACGGAATGAACTAGCGGGCCTTACGAATTTTTCTAAATGCTTGTTGGAGATCTTTGTTTTTAGTTTTTAACACTTTTGCCGTAGCGCCATCTGACAGAAATCTATTTCTTCACTCATAAAGTGAGGACAATTTATAAGGTCCGCTAGTTCGTTCCGTGGCTTAGTTGGCAGCTTCTGGCAAGGTTTGCTGCAAGACCAGCAAATTGATATACAGCTAGTGCTGCTCTACACGCTCGAGAAGTTTGAAAAAGAGCATTACAAACGGCCATTGTAGATGAGTTTTGTGTAGCTGCCGACACGTTTGTCGCTGTCAGTTATCATTTACATTGAAACTATATGGATGACGTACAAGTTATTGCAGCTGCTGCTGTTTATTATTGGGCGCCTATAATTATTATGTCAGTGCATATAATACATGTTATATAATGTTAGAGTTGTCAGGGGGAAAAATCGGAAACGAGTGGATTGTTTTAAGGAAATGAGAATGCCTAGCAATGTCTCTTGTTTACTCAAAATTAAATATAAAATTATTTACCAATAAATGCGACGGTGGAATTGCATTATCATGTAATCTAGTTACGTTCAAAGTTCTATTAAATGGAGCGAACAAACGAAGGTGATATTCGATTCGATGTTCGGCAATCCTATAATTTCCAACCATTCTTTCTTTCTTTTTTCATTTGTAGGTAAACTTTAAAAGTAAAAATAATAATAATTAAATAATAAAAACTTCGTAGTGAGTTGTTTTAATAACAGAATAACGATAATATGTCTGCTTACAAGAACAACACTATCTCAAAATAATCGTTATCAACAATTTTCAAAATATACAAACAAACACGCAATCTAAAGTAACCAAAGCAAAATTCGGCAAGACTTATGAGTAAACTACTTAAATGAGTCTAATTACATGAGATATTTGTGCTATTGTATGATTTATAGACAAAAAAATAACACATGCTGGTGTAATATAACATTCGGTTGATTTCCGCCTTTTCTACTGCCGCACCCCTTAATGCCACAGCCACGCATTTTAATCAATACTTAATTGTTCTCACTGTCAATATTTTTGTCCATTTCATTACAATTCATGTGAATAATTCACTAAAACATTTGGTCAAACATTGGTTTTGACATTTGATGTACTTCCCTTTGACAACCGGAAACACTTATCAAAGGGTGCTCCAAAAATGGTAAAATGAGGACAGTTGGCATTTAAGATGACTTTACGTATTTTCAAGTCCGTGTTTGACGTAAATCAATGTAGTGCCATTTCTTTTGGCTTACGACGGCACGCAGTAGTTAAACAAAGACAATAAAATGTTTATGTCTTCAACGTCTAAATGCATTATATACATATAACGTCTGATTTATATATGTCAATATAACATGTCCTTTGGTTTCCATAGTCTAAGTTTTTCCCAAGTGTACACTATTTTGACGGATGTCGTATGATCAAAGTTTGCTCTTACTATCCACTAATCAGATTCGAGCATACGACAATATGGCGGCTTTAGGAAATTCGACATTTGTACCAAAATATAATCTGTTCATTATAATGTACACTGAGCGTTTACGTGATCATCGGAAGAATATTGTCTGGATCTGAATTACTTCACATATTACGTACATTTTAATATACAAGGGCCTTAGGAGGATGGTTTTGTAATAGTACATTACGATATTAGTGCGTAAAGATGGTTATAACATGCGAGGCGGAGTTTTACTTAATTGAGCCGAGCATGTTGTAACCAATACGCACGTATATCGTACGACGTTTTTTAACACATTTGCGAGGAAACAGAAAAAAAAACATTTCATATTTTGTTCATTTTTAATTATTGAAACAGTTAGTGAAATTACAAGTTTTTAAATTACCAAATAAACTGTTTTTTTTTTAATAAACTCAATCTGTGAATGCACACTGTTGCTTTCCCGCCATTTTAACAGCGCGCTAGCGCTGCCTACTGACTGGCGCCGCGCGGCGATTTGTTCGAAATTTGAATAGCAACAGCGCGCTGCTCACTAGCTGGAGTCGTGCGGCGGCGATCAGTTCCATATTTGAAATGGCAAATAATACTGTTATGGAATTTGTATGGACTATAACTTAACTATTTGCTTTGGTAACACACGCGTTTTTTATGACCCGCTTTACATATTTAAAACCGGTGGAATTACATCAGCTTTACGAGCAAGGGTGTTAAAAAATATTTAACTATAACATCAGCGTATTTCCAGTATTCAGACTGATTTGGTATAGTTGCCAACTTCGTCATGTCAAATATTTATATTTTAATGAGATGCGTTGCGGTGTCGCCATCTTCTTGATTGGTGATATATGGTCCTTGTTGGGACGTCTAACGGGAGATTTGATTTTTTATTTTTAACCGACTTCAAAAAAAGGAGGAGGTTCTCAATTCGAGTGTATGTTTTTTTTTGTATGTTACGCGATGTGTGAATCGATTCTGATGATTCTTTTTTTATTGGAAAGAGGGTAACTCAGATGTAGTCCCATTTAAATTTGAAGAAAATATTCCACCTCTAAGGGTGGCAAACTAGGGGATGAATGACTTTTGAGGTCGGTATTTTTTTCTTCTCCGGATCATCAAATAACTAATCAATTGTTTCATTGCTCCTTTTAAGTTGGTACGCAGAATGAGAACTGTCGTCATCGGAGTCAGGAAAGTAATATTGTTTGAAATATTTTCTTCCAAATCCTCAGCACCACAGTTGTTCATACAGTATGTCATCTGTTATCAATGAAAAAACAGAAATAATCGTTGTAAATATTCCCTAAATTGCAATTCATGACAAAGGAAAAACAAGTTTGTTACTTACATCCATGGTCCTAGTAATGATTGTAGAGTGTTACAACAGTGTTGTGGGGATTGCACAGATTGACAGATGAAACAGTGAAAGAAAATGATGATGATTTTATACTTCGGTGTTATTTGTTATTTGTAAATACGTTACACAAAGTGTCCTTGATAAGAACACAAATACATAAGATGAGAGTGGTATCTTTATGTGCTTAATTGACAGTAATTATTATATTATATTATATTAGAGAGTGTGGTAGGTACATGACACAACATGAGGCGGAAAGAAAGGAAAAAAGCCACCGCTTTTGTGGTTTTTTGTTTGTTGTTTGTGGTGTTTGTAATATACTCCTGCTAGGTTGTTAGTATTTTACAAATAACCCTGTATAATATACCTAAATAAAATAACATAAATTTATTTTAATTTATTTTTAGGTGTATTTATTTCTGATGGTACAATCACTGGTGGAGGCAGGAATTATCTCGATGTGCATTTTCGTCCAGGAAGTAAAAAAATTTATAATTCAGCGTGGTGTTATATGGCTTATGTAAGTTTGACACACGAACAAGTTTTTAGACACACAGGAATATTCCCTAGTTTGAAAGCAGGCTACAGTTCCCAGTAGTGATAAAGAGACTCAGTCTTATAAAGACTCGACTCCATTTTACAGGACTCGACTCTAAAATTAAGACTGGAGGTTCGAGTTTTTATTAATAAGACTCAGTCGTTATACTAAAAGACTTAAACGACTTAAACAACTTGAACAACTTAAACGACTTAAATAACTCGAGGTTTTACGCAGCAGGGTACAAACTCACTTACATCAAGTTTCAGCGTATCGGAGTGTTTAGATATTAACTTAGTTGTTGTTTTTAATATCTTGGAGGGTCTTTTTTCACCTTTTTATACGTGATTTCATCCGATAGTAAGTCAGTTATTTTGCTATTATAATCTGACGTATTCATGACCACGGTCGCGTTACCTTTATCTGCACGGAGGATGACTAATTCAGAGTTTTCGCGGAAGGTCTTCAGCGCGTTATATGCATCTCGAGAAAGATTCGCTCTGGGCTGTTTATTTGAGTTGACAAAACGTCTTGGCGTATTGCCTCCAAATCCTCCTTTCTTATGTGATTTTTAACAAGACAATCCTCAACGTTACAAATAATTTCTTCGTATGGAACACGACGAGGGGCCACAGCGAAATTCAAACCCTTTTGCAAAACGGAGTCAAACTGATCTAATGTTTTGTTCGATAAATTAATCACAGATTGAGGTTGTGTTTGATCATTTGACAGTGACGTTGACGTTTCGTTACTTCTGCACTTCAGTTTAAGTTTATTACATTTTTCAATCTATGTTTTTTGACATTCTTCAAATTTAAATGCTGATCGTTTATTTGTAATTTCAATGCATTTATTAAAATCAGATCTACTTAACTTTACCTCCAATTCCTTCGATAATTCCGTAATCTGATTATCAAACTTTTGAACTGAGTAACGGTTATAATGCAGATAGGGCGCGCCCACATTTGTTCTTGAGGTCTTCGAACCGCCGGATTTTATTTGCAATGTCCAGTCCGTACTGGTGTAGGTACATATCGAGTTCTTAGGTTTTCGCGATTGTTACACATAGAAAATGAAACTATTTTTCCGGATTTAAATCGCGTATATTTGTTTTTTCAAACAAACCGACGTTACCGGAAAAATAGTTTCCTTTCCTATGTGTAACAATCGCGAAAACCTAAGAACTCGATAAATCTGAGTTACCTAAAAAACAATTTTGGATCGCTGTAATTGGACCATTCTGTGTGTATAATATGCATGCATTATTTAATTTCTACACAAAAGTATAAATTATTCGATGTTCCTATCACCCATGCATATTTACATAATTTAAGGAAATTCATTTCAAACTGGCAACACCTACGAATTTATGTCGAGGTTTTGTGTTCCGAGTGAATCTCAAAAAATATCGGGTAAATAAATTACAAAACAGTCAAATTAACAATAGTTCCCTGTGAATAGATATTCCATCTTTTTTTTCTTTTTTTTTTCGGGACAACTTTTACAATGTTTATAGATACAAAACGGCATTTTTAAACATAAAATAACTAATCACTCGTGACGTGCAAACAGTGCAACGCTGAGCTTAGTTTGTATTCGCTTTTGAATTTATATTTGCTTTGGTGGCTTCATTTTCGTATTCGGCGCGCTCCATTTGCCTATGTTTTGTAATTTGAGGTTTCATTCGTCATTATGGTCAAACGACAGTATCAGACACTAAAATTTGATAAAATACTTTGACTGTTGGGTTCTGTATCCTTATTAATTTTTATATTACAGAAACAATTAATTCCCAAAAAACAAATTCGTGAATTAGTTATAATAAACTGACTTCTGTGAACAAAGCCACGTTAACGTTATCCATCAATCGTAAAATAAACATCTTGTGGCTAGAAATAAAATCACGCCATAACAATGACTCGCGACTCGCGAGGCTATAAGGTGCCAGTCGTTTTAGTGTGAGGCCAGACGAACGCAATTTTGTGAGTTGCGTTTTTTGAGTTGCGCAGTTTGAGCTGCATTCGGTTTCATATAAAAGTACGGTTTGTTTCACGCGACGACCCAAAATGAGTTATCTGCCGACTCACGGGCGTAATGACAACTGACTCTCGGTCGCATCGTGCGTCGGGCTGGCGCGGATGGAGGTAGAGGTGAGGGAAGGGGTCACTTTGCTATAGGATGCGCGTGAATATAGTATACGTTTCTTGCGAAAATGTTCGATACGGAAAAATTTTTCACCGAGGTTGAACATAATTCACATTCACATTCACATTCATAATTCAACAAATTGATCTGGATGTTCACATAAACTTGTATATAATATATGAAACTGCCCACACTTTAATCGTTTCACATTGAGTGGATGTACCCAGCTTAAAAGATAAATTTTAAGTTTACCTGTTTATCCCCAATTTCCCACCAGGCAGCCGTGCCCTTGTAATAGTCGTTACTTGAATTCAAACCTCATTCAGTTGAGAGAGATAATAAACAGTATCATGTGATTCAAATAATTACTGTTTCGGATGGTGCATAAGGGGAGGGTGGATTCTAATCTCTTCGGATGAAGCCCTCGTATAATTATGTTAGAACGTCACTTAGGTAATTTCGTTTAATCATCAATTATACTTCGTGCTTCATCCTCGAGATTAAAGAAATTATGTAGACCTTGAAAGGTACCGAAATATTATTTGGACAGAAACAGAAATGTATCATTATTATAATTTATTTTGAATATAACAAAATCTTATTATGACTAACATAAGTTTAATTAATTTTAAACTAATTGTAATTATATAATTTTAATTGTTAGGATAGTTTCCTAAAATTGATAAGGCAAACTCGCTTAAGTTATCATCAACATTTTTATTATAGAACTTCCCAAATACCTGAGAACTTCCGCTCCATCCGGCATTATTTCTAATCACATCGACACTTACACCGAGCCTGCAGGCTGCGGAGGTACTTGCGTGCCGGGTGGAGTGGGCAGAAAAAATCGAAGTGTCAATTCCACTTTCATTCAGGGTACTTTTTATCCATTTACTTATGGTTTGGCTCGTGACAGAATTATAAGGTTTTTTATAACTGGCAAATAAATACTCGTTATTTTTTGTTAATGACTGTGTAACGTCTAAATAACTTAAAAGAGTGTTTGCGGGACATATTTCGTTATCTTAATACGGACCATATTTGAGTAACGCAGGATCTGTTGTATCTTTATTAAAGATAATGTCTGGACTCTGTGAGCCGTGGTGAGAGCCAGTAAGGTCACAGTCTTTTTAGTTAACTGTTTTAAGGTAAGCTCGTGATTCGGATATAAGTTAGCTAAAAAATCTAGAACAACAGAAGTATCCCAGGTTAACTTGTACTTGGGTAAGGATGGACGGAGTTTATAAAAGCCTTTAAATAGCCTATTTATTCTGTCATCAGTGGCGACATTTGATCCTATAATTAAAGATAAGGCCGCCCGATAACTATTGAGCGTCCCATACTAAGCACCTGAGTGAAAAATATTGGTTAAAAAATAGATAATGTTTGGAATTGACGCTTCATAATAATCAACGTTGTTTATATCACAAAAGCTAAACCAACGTCTAGTAAAGGGTACATTGTATTGTACTACTGAGCTGTTACATAAGGAGGCACAAATAATGTCTAGAAAATTTTTTGTGTACCAAAAATTTTTCTTCTCTCTTTCGTCTTCTTGCAAAAGCTTCCCTGATCACCTTGCGGCCGTAAGCTTCATTTGCGGCAACGTTGTCGTTCTGTTAGGAACAGAAATTAACAGTTTATCAGTCGGCTCGAGAATGATAGCATGTAACGATACGTTACAACGTTGTCAAATTATTTTTTTATAAATCGTTTTTTAAATTTAAAAGTATTAAAATTGAACACAAATATTATCTTTAACAAATACATCACATTTTTAAATAATAGTTTATTACAAAACATTAAAACCACCATAGACAAAGTCAGTTAATTAATCTATGGCAACCAACGGCATTTTTGAATGACCACTGACGCAGAGAGAGGAGAGCGGGGTAATCAGCGCCAGCGCCCGCCAGCTCAGCTGACAGCGCTTCAACGTCCTCAGAGCCAGTTCACGCTCGGCTTGGCCGCGATCCCGGTATATAAAAAACCCGTTACGTGGTTTTAAAATATTTAAATTGTTATTAAAAATAGAATATTATTGTTTCCAATCACAAATAACGTACGTAATTAGTTGTGAAAGTGAAAGTTCCCGCTTTAGGGTAAGTTGAATGGCACACAAAACACTTGTAACGCTTTTATTGCTAATTTTCATGTTTTTTATTTTACCAAATTGTACTATGTCGTTGTTGCAGCTCTTTCTACGTTTATATATATATCGCTCACTGAATGCAAAAAAGCCACAAATCAAAAGTCATAAACTTGACAGGACTGCCAATATAAAATTTAGATCACGATTTTTTTAAATATTTCATTATCTTTATTTTTGAATATAACATGTTATATATCATTAGACGCGTTTTTAAGTGCTTTATCAATAAAAATAATGTACTTTGTATAATAGCTGTTACTTATGAAGATAAAAACTACAAAAATCCCTTTTGCATTCAAAATTTGGATCAATATCACAAAAATTATGTTAAAATAAAACTCAATTTTACAAAAATAAACAAACGGTTTATTAAATCTTCTTCCTGAGAATATTATTCAAAGAATTCTCTTATTAGTACCTACTGAAAAGGTAAAAACATAAATGAATGACAATCAACAAAACACCATCTAAAAAAATTAAAACTTCTAAGGTAGGGTAACAATTGAGATCAAATTGGTACCTGACTATTGTTTTACGAAAAATAAACGTTTCTTAAACTTTAACAATATTCATTTGTAAAACTGTAAGTTTCATATAAAACTTTATTTGTAGACAAGTATTAAATACTAATATGGAAATATTCATAAAAAATATTTAAATTATTATAAAATGCTCTAAAACAACC